CGATCGGTTGCCGGCAAATATTTTCACCTATCTCTTCTAAAATATGTAGAGAAGTGAATAGTTTGTTTTCCACGAGCGAAGAATCCATCAGCAAGCGCCACATTTCGTCTTGCTCGCTAGCGAAAGAGTCCCAAGCTCTAAGTTTCCGGGGGCGAAGCTTGTTGCTCGTATTTGCGGGATCCCCACGCGTTGATTGTGTCTCATCCGGTTGGATTCCAAGCTTGAGGAAAAGATGCTTATGAAGGCCATCAAGAAACGTAGGGAGATTGGTTTTGGAGAATTGCTGTTGAGAAGCCGAAAGCTGTTGTTGAGAAGCTGAAAGCTGCTGTTCGGCATCTGCTAGACGCCGCCGTCACCTTTCTATTTCAGACGACATTTTGACTCGTTTATGGACACGTTGAGGGGGCTTCGTGTTGAACTAACGGAAGGTTATGTATGACTTGATACTAAGTGCTTACTATATGGAGCAAGTGGTAAAATGAGTGTGCATTTCTAAATAAGCCAGCGCTTCACCTATTTAACCTGCCTGTGGGCTTACAAAGCAGTATAGAGTGGATCCTACAACTCCGTCGTAATAGGACTTACCGGAACGGGAAAGAGTTATTTCCGACTGACAACTTTGTCAGACTACAATATACAACATACTATGTGGCCGACCCTAGGCCATAAACATTAACCGAGGTTTTGGCCATGGTCTCGTGGTATTCAAAGGACACATTTTGCCTTATCATCACCGAATATTTCAATGGCTTTGAGAGGTGGAGATTCGTGATTCGTAACTTTAATCTATTGCTTGAGCCTTTCATCGACGATCTTGTTCACCATCTTCTCCAAGATAGTGAAATCTCCGCCGGAGGTACCAGCAAAGTATCCCTGCACGCTCTTCTCCACATACTTGCCTACAATATCAATCTCAACGTTGACAAGGTCACCCGGCTTTTTCGCCGCGGTGACCACCTTCCCCTGCGTGTAGGCAATAAGCATGACCTCCCAGTATCCGTCCTGTCCATCGACAACCTTGGTGACAGTCAAGCTAGCACCATCCATGGTCACGTAGCCCTTCTCCACAATATAGCGCAGAATATCTCTATCGCGTGGTTGCAGCCGGAACACCAACGAGTTTCCATCCGGCGTAACAGACAGAATCTCCGCAACGGTATCGACATGGCCCTGCACGAAGTGTCCTCCCATCCTGGTATCGGCTGAAACGGCGCGTTCGAGGTTCACGTGTGAATTGGCCTGCAAGGAGCCCAGGTTTGTGCGTCGTAGCGTCTCTGGCGCACAGCCAACCTTGAACCAGGTCTTATCGAATGCAGTGACCGTAAGACATGTTCCTTAAGCCCACTTTTAGACAATCTTCCATATACCTTGGACATAAAAAGGGCAAAATACCATTCACTGCGATGCTATCGCCCAGGTGCGCGTCGGTGAGTATCTCCTCACAGTCGGAGATGGTGAGAGACGTTCCCCCGCCCCCGCTCGACGAGGTATCGATGGGCTCCAAGGCCGTGACAGCTGTTCAAACCAGCATTAGCTATTGACCTCACTTCACAAAAGAAAGATCTACATACTCCCAATTGTCTCAACAAGACCTGTGAACATAGCTGCGGTTGTTGATTTACAAGAAAAATGCCCCCGCGGTGTGTGGCCTCGGCATTGCCCCCTCCGAGCGGTGTCGGCGTCGGCGTTTTGGCGGAGACTCGCCAGTTTCCCCGGATCCCATTTACTGGGGGATCTTCTTGCTATCAGGACTTTTGTTTGTGCTTCGTTTTTGGATTTCGCTGCTTTCTCCAGATTTATCATCATGACGGTCGCGCTCAGGTTCCAAGTTGTTGCCCGTCGATCGGGCTTGTCCTGGGGTAGTAATGCCTTGCGGCGCACGGTGCCAGGACGGAGCTACTACAGTACAGTTCCAGTTGATGGGTCGTTGCCTTTAGCTGGTATTCGGGTGCTTGATATGACGCGCGTTTTGGCTGGTGCGAGTACACCTCTCGAGGTACTACTATGTGTTTACGATCCAAGCTGACTTGCTGTAGCCTTATTGTACTCAAATTCTGGGTGATTTAGGGTATGTGGTGAGCTTAAGAGCTGTAAAGCTGTTCCAAAGATTGATACGCATGGGATTAACAAGACGAAACATAGAGCAGACGTTGTCAAAGTCGAACACCCTGTGCGCGGCGACGATACTCGTGCTTGGGGTCCGCCGTATGCGAAGTACGAAGATGCTTCCAGAAAAGGCCCTGGTGAGAGTGCCTATTACCTAGCTGTGCGGGCCTTCCCCTGAAGTTATTAAAATTAATTTCCATGGCACTAACCATGGATGTAGGTCAACCGAAATAAGAAATCCCTTGGTCTATCCTTCCAGCACAAATCAGGTGTCGAGATTCTACACAAGCTTGCAAAGGAATGCGATGTCCTAGTCGAAAACTATCTCCCCGGGGGTTTAAAAAAGTACGGCATGGACTATGAGAGCCTGCGGGAAATCAACCCCAAGTTGATCTATGCAAGCATCACCGGGTATGGCCAGACAGGCCCATATAGCACCCGTGCAGGCTACGACGTCATGGTGGAAGCCGAGATGGGATTGATGCACATTACCGGTGCTCGGGATGGTGCGCCAGTAAAGGTTGGTGTTGCCGTCACCGATCTGACCACCGGACTATACACCTCAAATGCCATTATGGCGGCTTTGATTGCTCGGGGTCGGACTGGTAGAGGTCAACATATCGATGTCTGTTTGAGTGATTGCCAGGTCGCTACGCTATCGAACCTGGCTAGCTCTGCGCTTATCAGTGGGCAAAAGGATTCCGGCCGTTGGGGCACAGCACACCGTAGGCAGCAAACAGTCTCTTGTGTCGAGTATATTAATAAGCGAACTGACACATCCCAGCATCAATAGTACCCTACCGGAGCTACAAGACCAGTGACGGAGACATTCTCTTTGGCGGTGGTAATGATAGGCTTTTTGGCGTGTTGTGTGATCGACTGGGCTTCTCTGAGCTGAAGTCGGACGCCCGCTTCGTCACTAACAGCAACCGAGTGCAGCACCGGGCGGAGATTGACGATATTATTGAAAGCACTACTATGCAGAAGACCACGCAGGAGTGGTTGGATGTCTTTGAAGGTAGCGGTATGCCCTATGCGGCTGTCAACGACATTCAGGGGACCCTGAATCACAAGCATGGTAAGTCTGTCTATTTTCCTTGCATGTGATCAGAGTGGCACTGACCCTACCATCAGTTTTGGCACGAGGCATGGTGACAGAAGTTGACCACCCTGCATGTGGTCCCATCAAGATGGTCAACACGCCTATCAAGTACTCCGAAGCGACACCAGGCGTGCGCATGCCTCCTCCTACTTTAGGTCAGCATACGGATGAGATATTGAGTACTGTCCTCAATTATGGGGAGGCGGACATCGCTCGCTTGAAGGATGAGGGAGTCGTGTCCTGAACCCAAGATTGTTTATGACAAACATGAACGACACTCCCCGAGGTCTGTATATAAGCAAATTAGAAATCACCACCATACGCAAGTGGCCCCTCGGCTCTATTATAGTCTTTTGGTCCTTTGGGGGCATCTTCCTTACATCCCATTAACTCTTGGATTTTCCTTGAACCTATTATCAAGCAAAAACCGCGTTTTTCGCCGGGTATCTTGCTGATTGCTCTCTAGACAGAAAAGATACGAGAAACGAGGTCGTACAACTACTATCCTGGTTTGCTATGCTTACTGCGTTTCGGTATTGATGATCAGGCCTTCTTTCTGGCCGGCAGTACTATCCATAAATAATTAGCGATTCTTACTTCGTAAAGAATCAATTGTGCATCTTTTCTCTCTATCTCAATTGATGTCTTCATAGTCTAGAATTACTAGCATTATCCAAAGCCTTTTAAGGTTGCCTTGGGACATCACGTGATGCTTATACAAAGGTCTTTCATTCGGCGACTTCGCTCCAACCCTACTTCTAGTTGAAGAATTGAGAGAACTCAACTGCATTTGACTGTCCATCAGCAAAAAAACCTAGTGTCTATTGTGATATGTATCAGGTTGGAAGACCGGTACTGCCTAAAAGGACATAAATAGTGCATTTTCCCCTCATTATCACCTGCAGTTTTGTTCTGTTCTTTCACATCAAAGCTCAATTAGTTATCCAAAAAAATCTTGGCCAGTCCCCCTTTTGAAACAATCTTCTGCAAGAAACTCATTATGACGGTTTCAGCGGCATTCATGGGTCTCCCCGCCCCCGACATCAACCCAGAGTGCCCCCAGAGCGTCCATGAGGGCAACATATTTGACCACGAGGGCATCTCAGAAGTGATCCAACCACTATCATCACCCCTGGAGCTTATGGCTGATAACCTACCCTGGGAAAGTTGGGGATCACTAGCAATGCCTCAGGAAGACGCAGTTTGGACAACAGCCCGGGCTACGGAAACTGTTCATCAAAATGCCAGCACTGCCCTGGCTTCAAATCGAACTCGATCTGGCCGTCGTGTTACCCAGCCAGCTGCTAGGGAAGCTGAGTCTGTGGTAACAAAAGGGCCACCTGTCAAAGCGGCAGCAAAAAAACGGAAGCGTTTGAATCGCCAGGTGAATATAGTTTGCACTGGCTGCTACCGAGGATACAGCCCTTCGAACAATTTGATTGTTCTGTGTGACTCATGCGATGCTCCGTGGCATCAGAAATGTCACAACCCGAACATCGATAATGAGGTTATCAAAATATCGGAGATGAGTTGGTTTTGCATCAAGTGTAAGCCCGAGCAACGTCAGACAGCCCAGGTCAAATCTCAAAAGAAGGCTGTAATGAAAGTGAAAAAAAATGGACGATCGATGAAGCAGCCTGTGGCTGGATCTCAAGTCAGTGGAAATTGTTATTCAGAAGAAGAACGCCGGGCGTATCTGTCATCTCTTTCGCATGATTCCCTGGTCCAGCTTTTAGTGAAAGTCTCAAACGAATGGCCGTCGGTTCCTCTGTTTCCCTCTGATATGCACACCATGACTGATTTCACTCCCTCCCTCTTGCCGCCACACAACAATCGGGCTTCCAAAACTACACCAGAGAAAAAACCTCGGCCTGCAACACTTGATTGGGAACAATTGGGAACCCCGTCCGAGAACGCTAACGCCATGGATCCAAACCAACGGATCGGCAAGACTTCTGATACCACAGCTTCTGAAGATACTGTCCTGGATAATAACATAATATTTGCTGCAATGGTCTCCGATGCTGCTCCCAACTCGGCTCCCCCAACTCTTGGTGTCACCGGGGACCAGACTTTCACCGGATTTTCTCATGCGCATGCCTCCACAACTGCTCCCCAGAATTCTACCACAACGACTTTGCAGACACCTTCCAGGGCTGCGCGCAAGATTACATCTCAAGCTGCGCCTACAACTGCACGTGATCGCAAGGCCTCTTTCGTTTCCTCGAACTCTGACCTCCTCACCGATGACGAGTCATCATACTCTCAATCTCGACTACAGTCTCCCACTCCGTCTATGTCCCAGTCTTCACATTTTGGATCCCAGCATGATTCGGACTATGATCCTGAAGATTACCGCGTTTACCCTGAAGCTGGCCAGGGCTTCCAGGTGCCGTCGACCCCAAGCGATCTTGACATCATGGCTGAGGATGAGAATTGCCTTACCTTTAGTCACTCTATCCGAGGCGCCGCTAAGGAGGCTCGGAACCGGAAGCCTCATTCGGCGTTGGGTCATCGCAAGCAGTGATGATTGATCTGCGACCTTGTTGTTCAAGCCAGGGGTGCACTGTCGGACACAATCATGGGGGAGCAAGCATTTTGTGGATTTACGCTGGTTTTTTTTCTTCGATATGGGAAATGGGATATGTTATGTGATCAAATGACCTTCGTGAATCTGAGTTCAATTTTCATGTCTTCAGCCTGGCCAAGGAATGTCGAAGTCAATACCCCGTAGATTTGTGCCTTCAGACACTTGAATTTCTTCATCCTTGCCACAAGACAGGTATCAAAAATTGATTTAATTAGCAGTAAAATGGCGAGATTGCAACGCTCATCCAAGTTGAGCTGTTCGTAGATGGTCTTGTCAGCCCCGCATAACCAAACGCGTCTCGAATCTGCCAAGGTCGTTCTCACTCCACACCTCTGATATCCAATTTCACGGAGTCAGAACAAAACTCCACGACAGACATTGCAATGTCATCCTCAACCCCTCAGCTCATAAAAACAACGGCCAAAGTACCCCACCCAACTCCCGGCCCAACAAACCCACACACCAACGTCCTAACAATCGATACCCTAATAAACATCCTCTCCAAATCCCTCCTCAACCCCTTCATAGCCTGGATTTCCGTACTCTGCCTGCGCGCACAGGTAACACCATCAACAGACCCAGCCTGGATTCTCACTGTCAGTTACGCAACGGCCCTGACAGTCCTTTTCATCGCGCGGATTATCAACCAGCGCGCCGCCCACGGTGTCCCGCGCACAGTCGATTTCGAGCATGAAGTCGTGGTCATCACCGGCGGGGCGAGTGGACTGGGTCAGTTGATTGCGCAGATGTATAGTATGCGCGGGGGGAGTGTCGCCGTACTGGATATTAAGAACATTCCGGAAACATGCAGCGATGAGGTCTTTGGAGAAGGCGTTTTGTACATTAAATGTGATGTCGCGGAGAGGGGCGCATTGGAGGTTGCGAAAAAGAGGATTTTGAAAGAGGTAGGTTTGCTTTCTTTGCTTTTGGTCTGGTTTTGGGACTCTAGTTCCATTCCATGCTACGACTGCGGTTCTGGCTAGTTTAATGGCTGGGGTAAATTGTTTTTATAGCGCGCTATGGCTTGCTTCAATTGGGGTCTGATTCGCGAAATCTTTTACAGCTAGGAACACCGACGATCGTCATCAATTGTGCCGCGGCCAGGATCAACGGCCTCCCCTTGCTTGATCTGCCAGCGGACGCATTCGAAATGACCATCCGCACTAATCTGCTGGCAGCTTTCCATCTGTACCAAGTCTTCTTGCCTGGGATCATCGCAGCAGAAAATGGAGGAACCCTTGTCACGGTCAGCTCTGTGCTGGGCCAGTTGGGTGCTGCGGGACTATCAGACTATGCAGCAAGTAAAGCCGGACTTAGCGCACTCCATCGGACGATAGAAGCAGAAACCAGGGGTAACCCGTTGGTCAAGACATTGTTGGTGGAAGTTGGGCAGATGTCGACGCCGTTGTTCGACTGGGTGCGTGCACCGAACCAGTTCTTTGCGCCAGTCTTGGAACCGGTCGAAGTAGCGCGGGAGATGGTGACAGCGATTGATAGCGGTCGAGGTGGTGTGATCAGATTGCCTATTTATGCAAAGCTCGTGAATTGGTACGCCGTGCTACCCGCCACGGTGCAACGGATTGCGAGATATCTGAGTGGAATAGATGCTGCCGTGATTCAAAGCCGGCAGACATCTGACAAGACAGATTGATAGGTGGCTAGAATGCAGCTGAGCGGTGCAGATTGGCATAAATCATGAAAAAGGACCCTTGTATGAGTCCCATCAAGATATATTTTGAAGCGGAGCGATCGGTTTCATTGAGCATATTGCCCCTTCGACAATAGTTTCGACTGCAAGTCTTGCGGCCGAGCCTGGTCGACGAAAAGTGATACATCAGATTGATCAATTTATTGCTCGTGGGCCAGAATCATCTTCTCACGCTCATGGGTTCTCGGCGCCAGGTTGCTCTTCTTAGTATGCTTGCGCACATTCTCCTCACGTCTCTTGATAGCATTGAGCTCCTCACGCTTGATTTCACCGGCCTTCTTGATAGGCTTAGGCACATGACGCTGGCGTTTGATGCGGCGAATTTGAGGCATGTGTGAGTACCGCTTAATCAGAGCTTGATCGTACTCCAGCTTGGAACGTTGACGGGCAGTCTTGATTCCACTGCGGTCCGATGCATTGGCACGCCAGAGGCGAACATTGCCATCGTCCGATCCTGTTAAGACATACTTGTTGTCAGGCGTGAATGTTGCCGAGAAGACACGTTGCATCCGCTTTGTGTGGTAAATGTCACGCGAGTGACCGGTTGATCTGTTCCATAGACGTATTGTCCGATCGTATGAGGCAGTGACCAGCTCTTCACCCGTGGGACTGAAATCGACATCCATAACAGCAGCCACATGGTCCTTCAGGACATTGAGAGCACGGTCCATCTTTCTCATATCGAATATGTACGCGTTGTGATCCTCGTTTGCCACGGCAAAATTGAACGCTTCCATTGGGTTCCAAGAAATGGCGTTGGATGCCAGTCTCAAAATCGTCTTATGCACCGGCTGGGAGGTACGCAGGTCGTACATGATGACTGAGCGGTCCATGGCAGTCGAAGCCAGGATGGAAGTCTCAGTCTGGTTGAACGCAACAGATGTGATGGTATCAACGCTGGTCGGCCAGTGCAGAGTTTGCGATGGTGTAGAGGAAGGCCGGGAAAGGTCATAAATCGAAATGACACCAGAAGCGGCAGCAAAAGAAGGGAGGGTTCGGTGATGTGTGACACTGGTGAAGGCACTATTTCCGAGATAGGTTGCCATCGGTGGGGCCTCAGATGATGAGTTGTAAGGATCCCACAATTTAATCGTCTTATCACTCGCACATGACAGAAGCTTTCGCTCCGGTGTCCAGCACAGACCCTTGACCATGTTTTCATGGCCTTGGGTATTCCAAACCTCGCCCTGAGTCGTCAGATCCCACACCTTCACCACACCATCGCCACTGCCACTTGCAAAGCGTTCAAGCGAGCCAGGATCCTTTGCCATCGAGTAAACACCGTCCACGTGTCCGTTGCCCATCTGCGCTAAGAATGGAGCAGCAAACATACGCTCCATCTTGATCGCATTCAGAGCTCGAGTATATTCACGAGCCCGCTCAAAAGGATGCTGAGTCGGGTCGAGATTCCGCGACTGGCGAACGACAGCGGACCCAGGGGCCTGCTGCGACGCCGTGGAGCGCGAGAGTGCTTTGATTTTCTACATTTTGTTAGCATAGCTATCTAAAAACCCAAAATTTCGAGGAAAAAACTCACCATGATGCTGTTGTGAAAGCGATGTACTAAAGAAAAGAAAATGCCAAGATGGAACTTTTTTTCTGTTTGATTTGCCAAGCAGGCGGTGAGAGGACAGTGAGCTGCCGCCAGCTTCAAGCTCCCCATTCGACTTGGTCATCAACCTCTCTTCAAAAAACCGTATTCCACTGTTCTCCTTTTCCTTTAATTCTCCATCGCGCTCGCTCGCTATTCACAAATCTTATCATGTCATCTAAGGTCTCGCCACGGATCCAAGAAGTCCGAGATCTGGTGAAGGAGGATCCCTCGAAAGCAGCGACCAGTTACCAAAAGATCCTCTCAGAGGGCCCCGGATCTACAGAGGCCTCTTCGCGAGACTATGAACAGGCTTTGATTGGGCTGGGCGAGTTGCATCGGGATGCAAAGAAGCCACAGGAGATCGCGGACCTCATCAAGACTAGCCGCGACACCTTCTCGTCATTTGCCAAAGCGAAGACGGCCAAGCTGGGTAAGTTGTGGTCTTAATCATGTACAGATAAAACAACTAATTGTGAGTGTTTAGTTCGTCAACTTCTGGACCTGATAAGCGAAATCCCCAACACACTCGAACTCCAAGGCAACGTTATCCAATCATGCATAGAATGGGCTATTGCCGAGCGGCGATCTTTCCTTCGCCAGGCCCTTCAAGCTCGACTCGTAGCTATCTATATGCAGAAGCAATCCTATTACGATGCACTCACTCTTATCAACTCTCTTCTCCGTGAGCTGAAGCGCCTGGACGATAAGCTTATGCTGGTGGAAGTACAACTACTTGAGTCGCGTGTGTACCACGCCCTAGGCAACCAGGCCAAGGCACGCGCTGCTCTGACGGCAGCACGGACGTCGGCCGCCTCCGTTTACACGCCGCCGAACCTGCAAGCCGGTCTGGATATGCAGAGCGGCATGCTACACGCTGAAGACAAGGACTTCACTACTTCATACTCCTATTTCATCGAGGCACTTGAGGGGTACAGCTCGCTGGATGAGGTTGACCTGGCCACGGCGACATTGCAGTACATGCTTCTGTGCAAGATCATGCTGAACCTGGTGGATGATGTCACACAGCTGCAAGGCTCGAAACAAGCGCAAAAGTATGCCAGTCCACGCCTAGAGGCAATGAAGGCCGTGGCACGGGCTCATGCCAACCGATCTCTAGAGGACTACGAGAAGGCCCTCTCGGACTACAGATATGAACTGGGCAGTGATGTATTCATCCGGAACCACCTCCGTCGTCTTTACGATGCCATGCTGGAACAGAACTTGATCAAGGTCATTGAGCCCTTCAGTCGAGTCGAGCTTGAACACATTGCGAAGATGGTGGGCTTGGACACACAGCAGGTCGAAAGGAAGTTGTCTCAAATGATCTTGGACAAGGTGATCATCGGTGTGTTGGATCAGGGCTCGGGGTGTCTGATTGTGTACGATGAGACGGAACGGGACCAGGCTTACGATGCCGCACTGGAAACAATCGAAAAGCTCGGCAACGTGGTGGAAGGTCTGTATACTAATCAGGCATCTCTTCTGGAATAGAAAAGATGGGATCTGTCCAATGCAGTTGAGACGATGACTTGATAGGAAATAATCGAGACAATGCACGATCACACTCAATACCCAATCGATATGCGCATAGTTAGTAGTTATAATCTTGAACTACATTTTAATACTTAGCTCCTACCCATTTATGGGATGTCAACTGCGAAATCCCAAGTAGAGCATGAAGTTTTGTCCTCTCAACGGTGTTGTTCGCGATCGTCCGAAAGGGGTAAAGCGCGACGGGCAAAAGAATCGCGACCTCGCATCTCCAACATCTCGCATCTTCCCCCCCCCCTCAATCCATCATCCTCCCACCACCGTTTGGGTGCTTAATTTTTACACAATGCAAGCTCCAATGCAGCAGCATTATGCCCGGGCCATGCCCCCAAATGCGCAGCGATCTCCAGCCGCGCCTCGTCGCCCCCCAGGGCCAGGTAAATCCCCTTTGATCAGTCTCCACCCACTCCTCTCGGCTTCAATCTTACATCTCTATAGGTGGCGCAATGCCTGTTCCGATGCCACAGCACGCTGTTGCCCCACAGTACATGGCCTCACGCCCCATGCCCCACCCCAATGATGCTGCCCTTCGGCGTAGCCGCAAGCCGACCGACAGGAATCTCCCCGACGGCATCGAAGACGTTATCATCGGTGAGGGTGCTCAGCAATATAAGAACCTCCGCGACTTGGAAAAGCGATTGGATGCTGCTGTTGTGCGGAAGAGGCTGGACATCCAAGACTCTATCAACAAAACCGTCAAGAAGTATCGGACTATGCGCATCTGGATCTCTAATACCGTCGAAAACCAGCCATGGCAAGGCCTGGGCAACCACCCAGGCTCCGGTCGCTACAAAGTGCGCATAGAAGGACGGCTGCTAGACGACGAATCCGACCCCACAATTCCTGACGAGGATGAGAAAGATGAAGACGCGATGGACCACGATGGAGCTGAGGGGAATAAGGCGAAGAAGCCCGAATCCAAGAGCCAGCCCCAGCGCTTCTCGCATTTTTTCAAGGCTATCACCATCGACTTCGACAAGCCCGTCTCGGCAATCCCTGACGAGGTCAAGCCGGTCAACTGGTCTAAATCCAGCACACACTCCAATACACCACTGTCCCCGAGTGCCGAATTTGATAGTCTACAATTCTCCCGAGCCTCGCAGGACAATTTGAATGTTACCATCAGTCTGGTCCGGGACGAAATCCCAGAGAGATACAAGCTGAGCAAAGAGCTGGCCGAGGTTCTGGATGTTGAAGAGGAGACCCGGAGTGGAATTGTTCTTGGAATCTGGGACTACATCCGCGCCATGGAATTGCAGGAAGACGAGGAAAAGCGACAAGTGCGCTGTGATCACCGTTTACGCTCGGTGCGTGCTTTGAACATTTGGTCTTTTCAACCTCCGCTAACAAGTTCTGTAGATCTTTGGCCGGGAGCAAATGTTCTTTCCCCAGATCCCTGAAAGCGTCGGTCCTCACACCAGCCCAATGGAACCAATCAAGCTCCCCTACACTATCCGCGTTGACGAAGAGTTCCACGGCAACCCAACGCCGACCATCTACGATATCCAGGTCGCAGTTGAAGACCCGCTGCGCACCAAGATGATGGCTCTCACTCAGAACCCGGCATACACAAGTGGCTTACGCCAGATCTCCTCGCTTGATGACCAAGTTGCTTTGATTGTCCAGGCCCTTACTCACTCCCGTGCTCGCCACTCATTCTACACTGCTCTGAGCAAGGACCCGGCCAATTTTGTCCGACGCTGGATTAGCTCTCAGCGCCGTGATCTCGAAACTATCATGGGCGAAGCTACCCGTGGAGGTGGCGAGGATGGTAGCGGACCTGAGTTCCGTTATGGCGGCGTTGATGGCCCATGGGACTCTGAGGTTGCCAAGGAAGCTGTGCGGTACATGCTGGCCAAACCCGAAGCTGCGGCTGCACGGTAGATTTTCCAGTTTGTTTGTTTTTTAGCTCGCATCTCCACACTACCAACCGCCAAGGAGATGTGTTGATGTAATTTTTTTTCCTATCTGATACAGGGCGCTTGTGTGGTGTTCGGACTGGTGTAGCCGGGATATGACAGGCAGGATGGAATAGTTTTGAATTCCGTATTTTAAGAATCCGATACGATACTATGTCATTCCGGATTTATTTTAGTGATTGTGTGTAACAGAGTCACCACGTCAGGCGATGTATCTCTGCCCACCTAGTATAGAAAGGGTCGGCCCAAGAGGTCAACATCAACAATGTGCACGGAAGCTAACCCACAGAACTTTAAGGGAAAGCAACATAAAGAGGATGCACAGACATCTCAATCAATCATAAAGCAAAAATGGACAAAGAGGAGAACACTTTTAACAGCCCTCAGAGATACAAAGATTATAACAATAATAATCCGGACTCTCATTTAAAGCTTAAGCACCGGGCAAAGAGATCTTCGCGGCAAGCTCTGATCTCCGTTTCCGTAACTCCTCCCCGAAACTTGAGTCCACAGCCGAGGAGACTTGTTCCTGTAACGAGGAAAGATCACCCTGCCTGATAGCGGTCTCCTCCTGCTCTAGCTTGGAAGCCACCTCGAGGACAACATCACGCACAAGATCCTCATTGAGTTGCACAGCATTCTCTGCACCAACGGGCTCTTTCTTCCCCTTCTTCTCCCCAGCAGCAACAGACTCAGCCGGAGCGCGGAAACGCTTGAGAACAGTCTCGACCATCTTGGAGAACCAGAAAAAGTTCAAGAAGTTCAAGATCAAATTTGATCCGACGTAGGTTAAAACCAGCCACGTCGGTACGCCTCCCGCAGTGTACTCCTTGAACTTGGTGATTTCGGCGTTGGCGCGCACGCAAGCTTCATTGACACACAAGCTACCGTCCCGGGCTGGGGAGAAGACATTCGCGTTGACGCTCCTGGGTTCGGAAAGTGGAGCTGCAGCTGCTGACCAGGTTTGCTGAAGGGCATTCCACATATCCCCGTACACCACAACGCTTTGCCAAGTGCCCCAGACGAGACGACAGGCGAAGAAGCTGGAGAGCAAGGCCATGCCGTTATACCATTGGACGCGGCTGCCGGTCATGTTGACTTTGTCAAGGAACCAGTGAATATTGAGGAATGGGCTGGAAAGCTCATAGAGGATGAAGGTCGGGGCGAAGAAGTTTAGGAATGGTTTCTGCAGAAACTATGTTAGAAGTCTCGTAAAATTTAAAAAGGGAAAAAAAGGGAAAAAAAAGGGTAAATGCTGATGATTTTCTTGACACTGAATGTATCTATGTCAGGTGGATCGAAGACGCAACTTACAAAGCCTAGACTAAATACCCACAAGGCGCTGATGGCATGGAAAAGCATGCCAATGCCAAACATGCGCACGTGCACAATGCTGACAATCAGGTCATATAAAAAGTATCCCACGGCCAGAGCTTGAATAAAACCACAGGCACCTGTATACCCAAAGACCCGCTCACCGGATGTCATTGAGCTGCGCTCCTCATCGGAGTACATGACCCACAGAGCAGCAGCGTTGATTAAAACGCTCTGAACAAGAGAGACAACATGGATATCCCAGTTTAGCTTGGTCCGAGGAGTGAGCTTGTTGTAGGACTGAGGAAAGAGGATTGGCGAGAGCCGAGGCGAGAGAACTGCATGGACGAACAGGTAGAAGGCGAACGCTGCGATGACCTCGTGAATATGTTCGGCAAGCGTCGGGCTGTTGAGTTGGATGGCGTATGGCTCTGTGAAGCTACGCAGCCATTCCGGAGGCGGTGGGCAGGGATCCAACATCGTGAGAGTTCCCCTCAACTAGCTATGATCCCCCGATGTAAGGGAAAGCTGTTTTGAGGCTCGATCGGAATGTAGATCTATATGCAGTTAAGAGGGCACCCTATCCTGTCTATCATGGAAAAGGGGGGGAAAGGGGGGAAAAAGAAAAATAACAGGAATCAAAGGAAACCCCAAGAACTCGGAATAGGGGAAAAAGATGTAGCTTCATGCGAGAATGAAGTAATGGGAGGTGAAGCTGGCCTCGGCATAGCCTCAGGCAGCAATGATTTATTGGGGTCACATGATCCCCTGCCTCACTCGTCGGTGTAGACTTTTTGGCCTACGAGGAACATTTCGGCCAGCTAAAGTTATGAATGCTGGTTCAAAGAAATACTTATTAACGACCTAGTGACTTTGACCACATGGACCTATGCAATCTAGCCACATCACATAAGAGTGTTTTAGGAAAGTGAAGAGAGAATCATCATTAATCAATACACATTTATGGTAACAAACGAAAGTCATCCAATTCATCCAAGCACAGAAGCAAAACAAGAGTGGTATTTGAGAAAGAAAGAAAGCACCCAACTCCATCCAAAACAAAACATTCAAATCAAACTGCAACATCAGTGCCAAGTCCGCTGTCACTAGAGGGAGCCAAGAGTTTGCGAACTTCGGCTTCGGCAGCCTTATTGGCTTCCCTGATGTGGCGAGACATGTCATGATCCTCATTTTGATGCTCATCGCCAGCATTCTCTCCATTCTCACGTGCTGTCTGCGCATCATCTTCTGATTCGGAGCCATCGATGGAGATCTCATCATGGTGGTCCTCGTGGTCGCGCTTAGCGATTGAGCTCTCCGCCACACGGTATGAGCTTGTGGAGCTCACTCCGCTAACACGACGCTGATCGGTGGCATCTGTAATCACACTGTCCACGATACTGCCAGAGTAGCTTGTCTTGCGCTCCGTGCCTGCATGACTTGCTGCGCAGCTTGTTCGCCGGTCAGTTGCAGCGTTGCTCGGGGCATGGTTGAGTTCAGTTTCAGTGGCAATGTTGGATTCTGCGTAGCTTATTTTACGATCGGTAGGTGTGTGATTTTCCGCGTAACTAGTCTTGCGCTGTTGGCTAGCATCTTCCGCGTCGCTGGCAAGCTCGTCCTCTTCGTCGAATGGCTGGTTCTCTTTGTCGGCAACAGAGATTGAGCCGGCCCAAGAAGTATTGCGAAGAGAGTTCGATTTGACAGAATGGCTGCGCTTCAAGTTCGTGATGCCAGATTTAGCGCTCACCTGTCGGTCCACGCCGCGGTTGCCTGTGACGTTACTCAGGCTAAGAATCCGACGTTCTTTACCGATGTTGGGCTGCACAGCGACTGTGCCAGCTTGAAGTGAGGTCGGCATTCTTTTCAAAGCCATCCCAACACCGTTCTCAAGCAGACTGCGACTGTCCTTGGGCTCTTTTGCAGTGCTGGCAATGCTCATCACGCTAGGACTTCGGGCGCCTGTGCGTGAGGAACGGGTACTCCGAGTGCTGCGGTTCCTCTTCAGGTTCATGGCATGCGAGCTGTTTGATCGCCCAAGGAGGACTGTACGAGCATGGTCGAGCACACCCTCCAGAATGCGTTTCTCGAGGCCATCCGCGCGGTCCTCCATCTGTCGCATCTCTTCGTGGCGTATCTCTAGGGCCGTTTCAAGACCAGACAGATCCTTGCTGAGCTTGTTGTTTTGCTTAATCAAGTCTTCCTTCTCCGCTCTTAGGCGATGAATCATGTTCAGCATAGAATCCTTTTCTTCATGCAAGCCAACAAGCTCCGCTTCCACTTGTTCACGCTGTGAAACTTTCCGTTCAAGGGCAACCGCAGCCTCTTCAGCTTCGCGTCGCTTTCGCTCCGTGTCTTCAGCGACCAGGACTGACTGAGCAGCAAACATCTCATTCATTCTGCGGGAGTTTTCCATGATATCCCTGTGCATCTCATCCAGCTTTGTCATCTGGGTAACAGAATGATCGGATTCTGGCGGATTCAGAGGACGGCTGAGTAATGCGTCCAGTTTCTCATGAATAGGACCACTCCCGTTGGTGGCGAGATCTAGAAGCTCACTTAGCTTCTCATAGATTTGATCATTCGAACCTGACTGTTGATCTAGAGCACGGTCAAGCTTCTTGTGGAGTTGGTCATTTTTTGAGTGATCAAGCAGAGTGTTCAAAACCTCGTGGACCTTGTTGTTCTTTGCATGTTCCAAAAGATCATCGATTTTGCTGTGTAAGGGAGTATCCTCTATTGCAAGCATACGATCCGGTTCCGGTGGAGGCAGCGCAGGTAGCATTGCGGGAAGATTTGAGGGCAACGCTGACAGTTCAGTCTTGAAGTCCTCTGCTGATTTTTGGGAGTGATCATAGTGCTGGCTGACAATTGTCAAAATCTCCTGCACAGATTCAAGAATACGAGGGTGGAATTCAAGAAGCTTGCTCTCCACTCGATCAGTGGCAGCCGCGGCCCTTTCGTTTTCGGCTTGAGATTGCTCCTGATGCGATTTCACATCGTTGTGAATGTTCTCCATTTGTTGACGGGAGTGATCGACTTGTTCCATGAGAGCTTTTGTGTCCACACTTAACCGCTCACAAGACTCATTAACACTAACACCCATGGCACCGATGACAAGCTTGATTTCCTCAGCAAGACTCCTTGTACTTGCTAAAGATTCGGTGTGTGCCAGGTCTCTTTCTTCAATTTCTGAGAACTTCGAGTGGAGGGACGTGCTCGCATCTTCATACTTGGCTAAGACCTCTGAAATTTTTTCGTCAATCTTAGCTCCAAGCTCAATGATGATGGTGGCCCGGGTTTCGTCGTGTTTGGCCAGTGTAACGGCATCACGCTCCTCTTGTTCGACCTTGACCGCATCTTCCTCACCCCGAGAGCGTTCGAACTCTCGGTTGATAAGGTCAGTCAGCTCCTTTATATTATTGACGGTGGAGAAGCGCTCTGCTGTGATTGTTAGTGCTTCGAGGAGCTGCTTAAGCTCAGTCAGACCTTCGGTGCTGCCGTCAAGCTTGCTCTTGAGTTCATCCCCCAGTTCACCGACGACAAATTTGGCGTCGTCGATTTTCTCGGCAAGGCCACCGTGCTCAACCTTGCGGGCGTCGAAACCTTGGGCGGTCAGTTCGTTGTTGGTCTCCATCTGCTCTCGGAAATCGCAGACTAGTGTCGATAGCTCCTGGATATCCGTCTTGGTGGGGAGTGTGTCCACATCAGGAAGCTTGAGCTCATCCACTTGAGTCTTGACCTCAAAGATCATGGCTTCGACCATTTGCAGATCGGATTTGAGCAATCTCTCAGGATCTTCCTCTTCCTCGACGTCTTTGGTTTTGCCCTTCATCTCATCTAGGATAGCCCAGACATCTTTGATGAGACCCTCCAAAGTGCCAATCTCGGACTTTGTGGGAGCCTCGGCTTCGAACCGACGAGAAAACTCGGCAATCGAATCCTTAGCCTCTCGGATTATGGTTTCCAGAGCTGAAATATGCTCCGGGGTGGCGACCTGATCCGGGGAAGGAAAGACAAGCTCATCGATCTGGGTCTTAGTACTCAACAGTAACTGCTCCAGAATTTCAGTGTCTTGCTTTCGAGCGGAATTGTCATTGCCGGCACTTTGTTGAGTACTCATCTCACCCATGGCGAGCTGAACTTCATGAAGCGCGAGGAGGATTTCATCCAGGTGGGAGCGCTTAAGGGCATCCTCGGCAGTCTCCACGACACGAGGGGCATTTTCTATGGCCTCGATTTTGTCGTGTAGCTTAGTTATGAGTAATTTTAGACCGTCAATGTCAGGTCCGTTGAAAGGCTCGTTTGCAAGCATAAGTACACCACCGGGAGCGGTGCTGACATCATCTAGTTCTTTGCTAGATCCACGAAGAGAATCCATCTCACGCTTCAGGTCGGCAAGACCATCTTTCATGGTGTCCAGAATTTTGGAGCTGTCGAACTGGGTTGGCTTCTCCAGTAGTATCTTCAGGTCCTCGCGGATCGAGTCAACGCCATGTGTGAATGCATCGAGGAGCTCACTTGTCGCGGATAACGTGCGTTCGCTACCGTCGCTACGCGAGGTCTCTTCGCGTAAGATATCAAAATGCTCGCGCAGTGCTGAGATTATTTCGCCTTTCTCAGTACCGGGCTCGGCACGAACGAGACTCATCTCCGTGCGCTCACGAATATTCTCAAATTCCTGCTTGATGGTGTTGAGCACATCATTTTCTTTACTATCTTTGGCCGAGGTCTCTTCACGTAAGTTATCGAAGTGTTGACGCAGGGCCAAAATGATTTCGTCTTTCTCAGCACCGGGCTCGGCACGAACCACACTCATCTCCATACGCTCACGAATATTCTCAAATTCCTGCTTGATAGTGTTGAGCACATCATTTTCTTTACTATCTTTGGCCGAGGTCTCTTCACGTAAGTTATCGAAGTGTTGACGCAGGGCCAAAATGATTTCGTCTTTCTCAACAACGGGCTCGGCACGAACGATGCTCATCTCCATGCGCTCACGCAGACTCTCAAACTCTTGCTTGATCGCGTTGACAACTTCATCGCCGGTGTCATTCTTGTGTCGATCAGCAATCTCTCGAATAGCATCCAAGATTTCGTCTTTGCCTTCGGTGGCATTATTACGTAGGAGAAGAGTGGTGATAGTTCCCCGTAGGTGCTCGAATTCTTTTTCCATCGCATCGAGAAGCTCAGGTGTATCGGGAATGCCTCGCGGCGCATTCAAAAGAGATGTCTCCGTAATGGTTCTCTCCATATCGGCTTGAAGAAGTCTGAAACCTTCTTTGACTGTGTGAATTACTTCGTCCTTACCGGAAAGATCGGCAGCGGCAACCACGTTAGTTTCAATTTCCTTGCGTAGGATTTCGAGTCCGTCTTTGAGTGCATCCAAAACTTGCTCAGTGTCTCTTCCACCGGCGGCCGAGTGCTGACTCAATTCCTCTTTCATGCCTTCGATTAAATTCTGAAGGCGTTCTGCCATGTCCCCTCCAACATTTGCATTTGTCGTGATTATGGCCTCGTTGAGGCTGGAGGTGATTGCCTCCATTAGGTCATCCTGGTTCAGCTCGATCTCCCGGGTGATCGAGTTGCCATTTTGGATGCCTTCTGCAATGGCAGTCAAAATTTCCTCGCGTGAGATGGACGGCTCTTGGATGTTGGTGCTGAGTGCTGACTGCTGGCTACTTGTCGAGGCTTCAATGCCCTCAGCGATAGCACTCAAGATATCCTCCTTGGAAACACTGAGCCGGCCATTTGTGCCGAGCGAGGCGTGAGAGTGCTCAATGGCTTCGAAAATTGCGTTGAAAATTTCCTCCCGGGAAAGAGTCGATTGGTGATCCCGACCAACTTGCTCGGACGGTATGAGAGCCCTCGAAGAGGATTTATTTGAGTTCTCGATGCCATCGGCAATGGCGTTCAAGATTTCGTCTCTGGAGATACTAGGTTCCCCTTTGTTATGAAGGGAAGACCGCGAGTGCTGAATAGCGTCCACGATGGCGCTAAAAATCTCTTCACGAGAGACGTTTTGCTGAACCTTGGTACTGAGAGCCGACTGCTGCGCATTCATTGAGCTTCGAATGCCCTCAGCAATGGCGTTCAAAATTTCATCACGGGATACATTCGTTTGGGCAAGAGCAAGAGCTGATTGTTGAACATCAAAGGCTTCTTTGACAGCGTCCATAACATCATCGCGAGAAATTCGTGGCTCATTCATCTCTTTGACTGTAGTGAAATGGGCTTCTAGACCATCGGAGACAGCACTGACAATCTCATCACGGCCGAGACCAGAGTCATATGACTCCTTGCTCAGTGTACTTTGTGCCATTGAACCCGCCAATGCGCCAAGGATCTCGTCCCTGATAGAGTTCAGTTGGCCGACGCAGTCTTCATCCAAAGGCCTGGAGCTGCTGTGGCTTGCCATTGCTCCCGTGACAGCTTCAATGATCTCATCACGAACAGAGTAGAGGTGTTTGACATGATCCTCGTCCAAAGACTTGGGATGCATGTTGTTGGCTGCCATCGTCCCAGTGACCGCATCGAGAATTTCATCTCGTATTTCATAGAGGTGGTTGACGTGTTCTTCGTCCAGGGACCTCGAACCTTCGTTATGACTAGCCATGGCTTTTGAAATAGCATCAAGAATTTCGTCTCGCATTGAACGAAGATGGCCGACCTGTTCCTCGTCAAGGGGTCTGGAGGCAGGGTCGGGCTGCTTCTCCAAACATTCGCGGATGGTCAAGATGATCTCGTCCCGAGATATGCTTGGCGGATGCTCAATTTGCGGGGGGATGAACTTTTGCATGCCGTCTTCGACAGCTGCAAGAACCTGCTCGTAGGTGACTGCCTGTTCGTGCTGGGGCTGGTAGGACTTGAGCCCTTCTTCAAGACACGTGAGGATTTCGTCTCGTTCCAAGCCAAAGTTGTTGAATTCGATTTCGGGCTTATAAGTCTCCCAAGCTTCACGCACAGTTTCGAGGATGTCTTCTCTGTCCATCTCAGCAACTTGCGACTTAGCTTGAGGTTGGGGAAGTTCAAGTTCGTCGAGAGCTTTTTTCACAACAGAATAGATTGCGGCACTGTTCATAGTTGATCGAAACTCGGACAAGTCGGACGATTGCTGCCGGCTCTCGTTGATAGTAGCAGCCAGCTGCTCTTTGAGGTCGTCCAGGCTGCGGTTGACGATGGCAGATATTTCTTCTGTGCCGACAGCTTTGGGTTCCTTCTCAGGCTCGTCACTGGCACGGGAACTCTCGATCTCATCTAATCGCCGGCCGAGTTCTCGACCCATGCCCAGGACCTCACCTCGTAGTTCGCGTACCAGGGACTTCACACCGTTGGTCATCCCACCTCCCTCGACGACGCTATTCTTCACACTCCTAAGAATTTCCAAAACTTCACCCGCATGGGGTGAAGAACCATCTCCTTTGTCACAATTGGAAAGGTCTAGCGCACGTACATTTTCATGATCCACAGATCTCGTTGAACCAAATTGTGTTGGCTCGGGGGAGGTATTCCGAGATTCGATATCGTCAAGATTGGCAGCCATGCTGTAAGACCGGACGAGGGCTTTACTCGAAGGATCCTCTTTGACGAGGTTGAGAATCTCCTCGAGCATGACAGTGACTTTGTTATCCGCATCTTTGTCTGAGCCGGTAGGTGCAGGTCGAGATCTGATTTCTTCAACGAGGTCCAAGAGCCTCTGCTCACCTTCCTTAGTTGCCATCTCGCGCAATACCTTTTCGAGCAAAGCGAGGGCTGCAGAGCCATCGGAAATCGGGTCAGGTGAGATGCAAGAGTCACGATCAAATGCGAATGGATTGGGGCTGGGCATGCGAGGCACGGAGTAGCTCCTCTTCGAAGCGGGACTATCCGGATTATGGTTGTTAGGCCCATCATCACCCTTGAAAAGATTGCTGAAATCAAACCTTGAAGCAAGAGGGTCCAAATACTTGGTTGTAAGATGAGAAGACAGGTCCTTAAGACTCTTTCGAATGTCTTCGTCGCGGGCGTTGGTTGCCGCCTTGAGGCTAACCAGGTCGGTGGCATTGTCTTTGCTGCGTCGGCTCAAATTCATCATCTCGCGCTGCAGACCGCTTGCAATGTCGGTGAGGCTGTGAATTTGGTATGAGAGGGAATCCATGCTTGCTTTACTCGCGGGAACATGTTGCTGCTCAAACGGGGCAGCGGCCAATTTTGGCGGTTTAGACGGTGATGGAGGGTCAGGTTCTAAAGGTAGTTGCATGTTTTGCAGGGCTAACATTGTAGCTGAAGGCGGAGTACTCTCCCCCAATATTGGCTTGGATAAGTAACGACTCGACACGGAGTAATTCATCTCCCGGTCCGCGTCTTGACGGAGCACTGGCGAACTGATGGACTTGGTAGGATCGCGCGGCTTGGCTGCCTCAATAATCGTCGCACGAAGGGGGCGCTCTGGGGATCTGTTCTCAAGATAATTCAAGAAGTCGCTGCGCGCATCTTGTCGGGTATCTTCAGGCTGTAGTGACTGCATGCGCTTGTGGTGCTGGCCTTTGACCAAGGACCTTTCTGGAGAGGAAGATTTGAGTGGCATGGAATTTGTTGTGTAAGAGCTCGGTGCATGTTCGCTGGGTCTCTCTGTAAACTTTGCGGCCACTGCTTGAATATTGGGAGAGACATTGGACCTCGTCGCAGGGCTCATTGGGCTCATCGAACGAGGATTCAGTGGTAGCGGCGGAGGCGCACGCTCGGGATCCGAACTGTCCCACCTTCGTAAACTGCGTGTTAGCATTTGTTTGAAATCAACCATGAGGATCTGTCATAAAAAGCAATTAGGCGGCGTTTGTCTCAGAACCTACATTGGAACTTTGGGCTCGGAAAATGTTATTGAATGCCGGACCAATTCCCGGTCACGGGGGGCTTCCTTGTCTGGGGACGGCATGATGTCTTCGTTAATGGGATGTCAAGATGTCTCCGAGAAGTATTGACAATATGGATGGAATGTGTGTAGGGTATGTGTAAAGTGCGTTCAAAGAAAAAAACAGAAGCAAGGTCATCAAGGTACATCAACACGAGGGAGGAAACGCTGGGAGAACAAAGCAAAAGCTAACACTCTCAAAACTCGGTGGAGGAGAGAAAATCACCGGAAAGTCAGCTTGATAAAAAAAAACCAAGTGGAGATGAGAGTTGTCTGGAGAAAGAGATGAGGTACGCAGCCTTGTACACACCACTCATGGCCATAGCAACCGGGGTAACTACAATCGTCATGTAAACAAACCCTGAGCCAGCGAAAATCAGGCGGTAAGCAGCTCTGGGTACCCACCTGCCCAAGGCTGGGCGCCCATGGACGACAGATTGATTATGTCATCATTTGATCCGGGCCCAATGGAGAAACTCTCCCCAAAAGGGCTAGTCGCCATCTGTCGGTAAGTCGACCAATCAATCCATAGCACACAAATCGCTACTGTGCCCTGAAACCCTCTACCTCACATCCGCAAAAACGAACACTTCGATCTTGACCGTTCCGTATCTCGACAACCACCCATCCTCGCCGCCCCCGGGACCTTCAAAAATGAAGTGTACGTCTTCATCATTCGACTCCCCTTGCGATCTACATGCTGACGGATGTGTTACAGTCATGAAAGTGGGCCGTGTGGCCATCATCACCCGTGGCCGCTACGCCGGTAAGAAGGTACGACAAGTTCCTGATCCTTCCCGAAATAAAGCACGAGAATGGAAAAAGGCGAAACGATTTGCAAGGGAAAGACTCGATGTTTGAAAGAGCACAGTGCAATGTGGAGGAACTACGCGACAAGAAAAAAAAAATCCAGAGTGCTAATCCGGCATTTTTGTTTGAATTTACAGGTCGTCATTGTCCAGCCCGTTGATGCTGGCTCCAAGTCGCACCCCTTCTCCTACGCTATCGTCGCCGGTATCGAGCGCTACCCTCTCAAGGTTACCCGTGGTATGGGCAAGAAGCTCGTCGACCGCCGCAGCCGCATCAAGCCTTTCATCAAGGTTGTCAACTACAACCACTTGATGCCCACTCGTTACACTCTCGAGCTTGAGGGTCTTAAGGGTATTGTCACCAACGACACCTTCAAGGAGGTCTCCCAGCGCGAGGAAGCCAAGAAGACCATCAAGAAGGCCCTTGAGGACCGTTACACCAGCGGAAAGAACCGTTGGTTCTTCACTGCCCTGCGTACGTTCGGCCCAGAACATTCAGCACTTTGAAACTCGGCACTAATTCTCCGGAACAGGTTTCTAAACGGTTTACTTGGGCGTTTTGTCGTTTTGAGCGCACGGGTCTAGGTGAAGGCGAGATCGAAAAACCATCGAGCACATTCGGTCCCTGCGAACATGGGATGGGAAAACATACACCATGGCTGGAAACAGATTCGTGAATGTATCGATGAACTCCAGTTTTAAACAGGACGCCACTTCCATACCTGGTGTCCGTCTGAATGAAATGGAAAATGAACAATTATTTCAAAAATCAATGTTGTCTATAACCTGAGAACTGGTCGATTTTTGGTCTGTTCTCTCAACGCAGATCATTCCCATGGCCTTGTAGCTATACGGTTTGCCCCAGGTCATTCAATTCCATGGTGTCGTTGCTACGATTGATGTATCCATGCCCATCTGTAATTTCCAACGTAGTCCTCAAAAACGCAGCTATCAAAAAAAAACTTCTGGCTAGCCGCGCATCCTCTCTTCCAAACCATGTACTATACTCCAAACGCATCATCGTGGTGTCCAAGAACGAATTCTCGAACTTTGAGGAAGATAGTTCACGGCACGCCCTGAAAGGTCTAGGTCCTCACATCCAAACTTGATGGTGCAATCATAGCTTCTCTTCCTCCACAGTCCATGTACCAAAAATGAACCCCACCCCCGCCAAGATATACCATGCCTCAGTCATGTGGATATCGGCGCTTGCAGAGAGTACTTGATACGAGCAGACTTCAATTTTGAATTTAATTCTAGACTATGTAGCATCAGTGCTTGCACTGTTATCCCAATGACATTGCAGCGTTGGCAGCCCTTAGAGTATTATCGTCTACCAGGTAGGCAATCTGAACAAAGAGCCGCATTAATTCCGAGGTTCCAGGGGACAACTGACACACCCTAATCCTACTCTCGCTACTAAAACAAAGGGGATCTTGGCCTTTGAACGACATCATCTTCGTGATGAGTGACACGCATTCTTTGTCTTCATTGTCTTCTTTCTATCCAAGTCTCCATAGCCTCAAGACTTTGCCCATTTATTCATGGTTGGTGCACTCTTCACCCTGTATTTAGAGAAACTGTCTTCTTTCTAAGCCCCCATCGGTTCCGTCCCATATAAGTTGGTCACGACTAAGCTATCTTTTCAATCAGCTGCCCCCAACACCCACACAGTACACGGTGCACGTTAACATCCCTAACCACAAGTCAATACATATCTCACTGGCCATCTAATTTTGGTAACCATGCCCTCTCATCTAAAAAGAATCCGCGAGGATACCGGGGAGGAATGGATGGACAACGAGGTCCATCGATACTACAACATGCCCATGGTAGTCGTGCGAGCCAAGCCTCATGTCCTGATGCACTGTAACGTGTGCCGTGACACTACTTCACTTCTAAAGACATCGGTCAGTATTGACAAGTGGATTAGTACGGAATATTTCATCTGGGAGATGTCCGCGGGGCTAGCTGACAGCGGCGTAAACCCACAGTGGACGGAGTTCTTCGAAGATGAATGCAAGGAAAAGTGGGTGCAGATCCAGGGCGAGTTCAAGAGCATAGCCGATCTCCCTGAGAGATTCCTTCACGAGGTTCCGGCCCCGCCCTTCCAGATTGCAGAGGTGAGAATCACGGCTAACAAATCCCCGTATTCTTGGCGGCTCCGTGCGAATTCAGGCCGACACTTGATTTATACAAGCTTCTGGCATCTTTGGAAGTGGGTTCTCAAAGCAGACCCACCCACTGTTGGTCCCTTTGACATTGTTCTCAGAGTCCCCTCGCATACTCCTGCTGGGGAGGACCCTTTTGATCCTTGGAATATGTCCCTCCCAAACAATCCCCTTGGTGTTATTAGCCGTGAGGATGTTTCCCATCTTCGCTGGGACGGCGTATGCAGTGATTCTGCCCCCTTGGATTTCACGTGCCTCTCTGGAGGAGTATGGCGCGATCGTTTTCCCTCCATCTAGCTGTAGCGGATCACGATCTACCTTGGCTATTATGGATCTGCTGTAATGTATGCGAGACTCTCTTTTGATCTTTTGGGTGTTTTCTTTTTCTTTTTCTTTTAACACACCAAGTCCTCTTATGGGAATGTGAGAATCCTGACAAGTCCACTGCGATGTAAGGATACTTACGAAATCGCTTTAATTCTTGAACAGGTGGACAAGAACTACCGTAAATGGGGAACCAAATTTGAACACCTGGTAGGTTTTGATTTACTCTCTTATGTTTATAGCCTAGCACATGGGTTGGGGGGGGGGGGTTTTTTTTCTTTTTTTTCTTTTTTTTCTTTTTTTTCTTTTTTTTCCTTTTTTTCAAAACGCATAGATCCACATTAAATACAGTCTAGTGTTTTACACTAATCTTTCTCAAAAATGCGGTATAGAAGAAGTAGAAGTTAACCAAACAATCAGCCGTACTAAAGCAATACCGACATTTGGAGTATCACCCTAGATAGAATCCCTTCCAAATGCTAGAATGAAGACTGGTATAGCCATCTTAGCACTATCACATAGAAGGTGGGAATCTAGATTGAGAGCCCGCATCCCGTGAACATAGGAGATTAGAATCAAATGATGTACATGTGGAGTGCATAGCTGTATAGCCAAGTTCGGCATAGATCATGTGATGGTTTCAAGAATCTATGAAATCAGGAATCCCTTCCCAATGGCGTAGTCCGGAAAACAAAGCGATCCGAAAATCCAACCACTCGTACATGATACCATTCCCGACAGCTGATTCCCTTGGCGCACCGATTTACGTGGTGCTTCTTCAGGGCCGATGTTCACAACTGCCAAGCCAAGGGCAAAGCACTTCGAAAACATGAGTCTCCCGCGCAATTGATCACCCAAACATCAGAACCTGTATTCGCCTGATTTGTGACCATCCCGAGCAATTGATCCCTAAGGCAACACACAGTTGAATCCCTGATCCCGAGTCAATACTCAATGACCTCTCACTCTCACACGTGAAACGGTTCACGAGCTACGGGCCTCCGCTGTGCTAAATGTTCAGAAGGCTGTAACCGAGATTCCACCTTCATTCCAACTGCCACCCGTGGATAAACAGAGTGCTATTCGTGCAAAAAAAAATGTTTTTCTAGACTCGGTTGTACGTCAGAAGCAGAAAATGAGTAGCAGCGTGTGACAGGCTGAATCGAGAAGCGATTTCCCAATATCCCAACCGCTCTGAAAGTAGAGATAGATCGAAGGCCGTATGGGTTGTGGACAGATCTTCAGAAGAAAGGATGCAGGAACGGAAGAGGCAAAGGTTGTACTTTGAAGATGTTGGGACAAACGTGGTCAAGACCCGATATACAGGGATCTGCAAAGTAACTTGATCGAGTGGGTTGCCGGTCGATCATCGCAATCCGTTCACCTCAGCAAAAGGGAAAATGGGTTGAAAACAAAATCAGAAGCGGGGGAGAAAAGACGCCCGCCCCCTCTGACTTCGAATTCCAATGCTCATGACTTTGTTTAACCCAGTCGACATGTTCAGTTCTCATCTGCCGACCAGGGGAAACCTGATCACCTCCCGGCTTACCCTGATAGTCGTACCGAATGCAGATTTCTCTCTTCCTTCGGCTGCAATAGAAAGACAAAGATCTGGATATGCACGAAGTACCAAGGTGTCTTCTATGCCTCACATCAACTACAATCAAATCCATAGGGCCATAGTACTACTATATTCCTATCGAATGCAACTGTTTCATAGGGTCACATCAAACGCCGAGATTCGGATGAATCCGTGACGAATCGCTTCGGTCATCGCAAACCTGGGACCGGGAGAACGATCTCCAATCCGGCCAGGACCTTGCGCAATCTTGCTCCTGCTGCAATTGGACAGTCATTACGTGTTACTGGCGAGGGTACTCCGCAGTTGGGGGACCCGACGCTGAGGCCGGTGGGTACATTACTAGCATCACTCATGTAGGTGCAGATTGGCTCGACTCACATAACCTAGAAGAAGCGTCAGTCATAGTTTTGGTAGGTTGGACCCGATCAGCGGCCATCTGCGCCCACCGTCTAGGCCATTTTATTATAGGGTGCAGATAAGCAGGTTTGTCCAACGAAAAATTCGGGGAAATGGGTGAGAAATTGTCTGATGAAGTCACCCCTCCTTTGGGTCAAATCGATCTATTCTGGGGGGAAGGGTTAGGAAATCGAACCTTTAAGAGAACCCTGGAATACAGGAAATGACATGCCATAGAAGATGAGAGAAACGATCATAGAGATCCAAGTGGAACCACACGGCGTTTTTGCATCAGACCCGCAATCACATGCAAAAGTAGCTCTTATCAAAATTTCATTTATGGAGACTAGTATTTCAAGATTTTTGGAACTAAGTGTATTTGGTATAGAATAATATTAATTTAATACCTCGCTTTGATTAACCATATTCAATTGACAATTTGTAGTGCATAGTGGCCATAGGCAATGGCGTGTTGGCGTTGGAGGTGTCACTAGGGACTTGAGGCAGTTAAGCCCTATCTAAAAGAAAAGAATAGAGACGAAAAAGGACGAAAATTCAACATAGCCAACTAAGATAGCCAACTCCAATAACCAGAATACGGATGTATTGCACAAATGATACAATTACGGTAGGACCCATTGCATAATGACAGCGCAATCACATGTGAAAATCCTTTTTCCTATACAATCTCAGTAATTCCTCTCTCTCTCTCTC